AAAAAAAAAAAAAAAAAAAGATGGAGGAATAGTCTAAATAAAGAATGAACAGTTCTAGCATCTTAGAATTGCAGTACTTTCTGTACTTAAATGCTTAGAATTTTGCAATCCGACTAGAAGGGTAGAGAATTCTAGAACCCTGGAATCCTGTATTGAAATCCATGGACTCTCAGAATTGCAGAGAAGCCGGGCGCGTTTACACGCACCCGTCATCCCGACATGCTGGGAAGCTGAGCCCGTAAGATGACAAGTTCTAGCCCAACCTGGGTAACTCAGTGACTTTGCAAGAAAGACCCTGTCTCAAAAATTTTAAAAAGTGCTGGGGGCATAGCTCAGTGTGAGGCCCTGGATGGTGTGTGCGGAGGGGAAGTCAGACGGAGCTGCGAGGTCAGCCGAGGCCGCGCCTCATCTTACAGACCAGAGGCCCGCTGCGTCCAGCACGGCGTGCAGTGCAGACCCGTCCCTGCAGCCTGCTACGACCCTGCGGGGGGGCCGGGCGTGGGCGGCTGGTGGGCGCGCTCCCGCCTCCCCCGGGCTGCGTGTTGCGGGGCTGTCGCAGGTCCCCACCCCGCCCCCCTCCAGAGGGCCAATCAGCAATTAGCAGGGGCGGGGCCGCCGCTTGCCAAGCTGCTCAATAGGTGCTGTGAGGGAGAAGAAAGCGGCCGGCGCGGGTCCAGCTTCGCACAGCCGGCATCTCCACCCGCAAAACTGTGGCTTGGCAGCCGCCAGAAATTGCCCGCCAACTCCAGAGCCTGCGGAGGGCTCCTTATCTCAGTCCCAGCACACTGAGCCTTTGGGTGGGGGTTACATTATGCCAATTGTATGGAGATGGTTTTTAAGGCCCTCTTTTTTATTGATTGGCTATGTGACGTTGGACCAGTAACTTGACCTTTCTGTGCCTGTTCCCTAGCAGTCAAAATACAGCTAGTTATGCTTTCCTAGCCTAATTGGGTGAATTTAAAGGGTTTTGGTTAACCTGCTTAGTAGATAGCAGAGCGCAGTGGCGCACACTTGTCATCCCAGTGCTCTAGGAGGCTGAGTCAAGAGAATTGCAAATTGGAGCCCAGCTTGGGCAACTTAACTGAACTGTCTCAAAATTTAAAAATTAAAAGGGCTGGGGATGGAGCTCAGCGTGAAGGCCCTAGGTTCAATCCCAGTACCAGAAAGATACAAAAATAAAACAGATTTCAGTATCACACAGTAAACCCAAAAAGAAGCCGGGCGTGGTGGCGCACACCTGTAATCCCAGCACTCAGGAGGCTGAGGCAGG